GCGTGGCACTTGTTACTACTAGCTTCTTGTTACTACTAGTAAGGCACTTGTTGCTACTAGCGTGGCACTTGTTTCTAGTAGCGATGCACTTCTTCCTAGGGACCTGTCTCTTATTCCCCCTGGATCTATCTTGGAACGGTCTCTTCACCCAGATTCGAGTGGATTGTGTGAGGAGTTTCGAGGCACCAGGAGAGTTGTCACTGAGATTTACCAGGATGACGGATATGTTCAAAGACATGTGGAGGTGAATTGTTGCAGGTTCATGCGGAAAGGGTTGGCTGTTGGAATTGAACAATGCATGGTTGATATATGCTGATATGCGAATGGGATTTCCCTCAAATGTGGTGAGGTGGTCGTTGAAATGATTTTCTTGAGCAATTCCCTTTCCAAAACTGATACAAGGGGGAGGCATCTTTTGGAATATCTCGCAACTCAAAAGCAAGCATAATATAACAGAGTCCTTAAGGTTTTTTCCCGAATAACCATCCACAAACATCCATTACAAGGTCTCAATATGTCTAACGTATGTCAAGATGATTCAAGATGTCTGACTGAATGGTGGCAGAATCTCGACCTACGCCACCCCTTCACTTGTTTGAGGTTGACAACATCTCGATCTTCTCGTTGCCCAAGGTCCGAACTCGCAGCGCGCCCAGGGAAGCGCCCCGCCTTGGCAGAGCTCGGCGCAGCTGCTCCCCTCGCAACGATAGGCACACTCGGTGCCTCAGGCACAGCGAGTAACGCGGCGCCGCGTAGATCGACCATCTGAGATTTGGGGATGGTTCAGAAATCCTTGATTACGAGTACCAGTATCATATCGGTCTGGATCCTGCCAGTGTCTGATGGTGTCTGAGTCTTTCTTGTGAGCCAGGGCCATAACTGTTTTGTTGCTACCAAGGCCCAAACCCTGGCACTTGGTGCCGCAACTGCCCACGTCCTGCGGTCACCAGTTCGCTGAGTTCAATTTGCGTTTATACAGTAGCAGTCTTATAAGGGAGTGTAATGCGAAACCTAAACCCTGAAAAAGCAGCCCTGCTTGCTTGCAGCCCACTCCTCATGCGAGCCCTGGCAGCGGTAAGCGCAGCGTTCTCCGCTGCACTGCGCTGCACACATGGTGCCGATACACTCGAAGCCACATTGCCTGCATTTCCAACGTCTCGAATCACTGAGGAAATCCACTCTGGCAAGTCCCTTCGACAAGTAGCTTCTTGTTCCTGGCCTCCAACCTAATAGCGATGGCCTCCACCTAGAAGCGTCCTTGCTACTAGTAGCAAATAGCTACTAGTAGCTTCTTACTTGTTACTAGTAGTAATGGCCTCCAACCTAATAGAGGGCCTCCACCTATAGTAGCGTCCTAGCTACTGTATGGTATATTTATAATATATATATATATATATTAATATATATTATATGTCCCTGCATTTTTTCGGCATTTGAAGACTCAGTCAATAGGGCCCCAGGTTCATCTGGTGACTCCCTGCGACCCTGACTCTAGCCGTGTATCACGACTCTGGCCAACGGACTATGGTCCGGTCTTTCCATCGTTGGATCTGGCCGTCCAGCGTTCTTTGTTTTAAATGCGCAGTCCTTTTCTAGCAAAGCAAGATAGAACTACTGCAGATGGCCGAAAACACACAGCGAAGTGAAGGAAACGGAACTTCTGTGACATGGTACAGTAGGCACCCAGAGTGGGAGACTGAGTCAACGATCGATAGTAGTTGAAGAATAATTGCAGCTGGTTTCACCGTCATCCCAAGGGTTCTTGGGCTGCTGTGGGAATTCACAGCACGTCCATCCACAACTTACTTCCTCCAAGCCACTACTTGATGCCTCGTGATGAGTGCCGCGATGCCCCCGGTATCCCCCCAGCGCCTGCCCTTGCAAGCAAAGGCGCAATGCCCCTCGCTGCCTCCGGTAAGCACAGCAAGCAAATCACGTGGAGGTGTTCACCGGAGATGGATCTGCATCCAGTAGATACCCACCCTTCACCCAAAAGAAAGACAACAAAAAAACTAAGACCGGTTGAAACGCAAGCCCATCCCCGCAAAGTGTCTCGCAAGTTGTTTGATGCTTGCGTCTCTGGGTCGGTCTGGTCCTACCAATGTGTATACAGCCGTTTCTCCACAGCACGGAATTGGTGCCGGCTGCCATGCATCTTAGCTTTAGCATGCTTTAGCTGTATGACACATCTCGTTCGCCGCGATGGGAATCCAAGCGTCTACGGTCCATGCCGCTCACCTTCACCCCACGTTTCACCGCCCCCCCGTCGTGCTCTCCGGCGCCGTGACGTCTGGGCGGGTCCCGGGCCAGATTCGCCGCTGCAGTAGCTGCCGCAGCGGTCGCCATCGCACTGCTTGGCACACTCAGTGCCTTGGCAATAGTAGGCGCATTCCATGCCTGGCGCCGCAAGACCGTTGACGGACGAGTTGGTTAAAACATCCGGAACTTGGGGCTTGTGACGATCAGCTTGGGGTTCACAAACAAACAAAAACCATTTGAAGGTTCGGTTGCGAACTGTTTGTTGAACAAATCTAGCATCCGCATAGGAGGATGTGGACTCTTGAGGCCAGGATGTGTATGCAGAGGCCCCCGGAAGTCAGCGCCGGTTGAATGAGGAAGTCTTCTCTGTCGGTCACAAAGGATGGACGGACTGCGTGGCCGTTGTTTCCAACACACAGCTGTCTCATGCTACCTCCACAGTCTCTCCAACTTACCATCATTGAGAAAACTCACACTATGACTGATACTTTCATACTTTCTGTGCCTGATAACCCCTCATCAGCCCTGCAGAACGCCCGCCTACACAGCCCATACCGCACTGTTGCACATCCTTGCCACCAGTGCATTCATAGGCACATTTGTCTCCTCGAAGTTGGAACTGGCTTGGGCTTCTTCGACTACATTTATAGTGCCGGACACCCACTTAGAACATATTTTGGAAAAAAAAAAAACAAGATGAGTCACAGATAAGCCGATGTTCTAAGTGTGCACTTAGAACATATGTCTGGAGAAAAGTCCAGGCTAAGAACAATGGTAAGAACATTGGCCTAAATGCTGGCTTAGAACAAAAAGCATGCTTTGATCAGTCATTCTTATGAAGGTTGCCACCGGCTGCAGACTTTTGGCTGCAGGGGAGCTGTCGCTAGTCTTGACTCATGGAGTTACCTATGCAAGTGAAAGAGTTTGGATATGGGTCACTTTGCTGCAAGCAGCGGGGCTTGGACTAGGTTTGTTGGGAGAGCAGGGATGCTTTCCGTGTTAAGCCGTGCGCCCTGCAGCATTTTCTTACAGGCACTAGACTAGTTCTTGGCAGTATCATAGGAACCGATGCAGTTTCCCTTGGCTGCTGATGCAATGACCGATCTCATGTTTGTCTACCTCATTGTGTGCCTGTTCAGAGATGTGCGCGGATTGCTCTTCTACCTTGTCATGAATCCCCGACAGAAAACTCCGATGCTTCCGGTCAAGGAGAAGGAGGAGGAGGAGGAGGAGGAGGAAAAGACTGTGCCGCAGAAGACAGATGTTTGCCAAGTAGCGGTCAGTTGTGTTTACACTCTTGGGGGGCCCCGTTGCAAGGCTCACCTTTTCCAAAAATGTCTTGGAGAGAGCCGCGCAAGTCAAATGAAAGCTACTCATTAATGCTTGCTTGATGTTCATTTATCACCGACCTTCACAAATAGAATCAGGCTTTTGTATGCTCACCCCTAACCAGAAATCTATGCAAACATACAAAGTGACGGACACCCACTGTATGAATAATTATGAAATAGTCTAACCATTGTTCTAAGTGAGCATTTTTGTTCTAAGTCTCAATGTTCTAAGTGTGGTGTTCCTGTTTTAGTCTAAGTGTAGGTTTGAAATTTTTGGAAAAAAATATATGTTCTAAGTGGGTGTCCGTCACTATAAATCTACATGGATCTATATACATGAGGGGTAGACTGTGCAGCAGTTATCTGCAACACTTTCCTGCAAGGTGCAAGCATGTGGACTTTGGACTTGACCTCAGCATATGTCTTGCTCAGCCAAACCCGGGTGGGGGAGGCACAGGGACCTGCAAGCGCTTGTTGGTTGAGCGAAGGTTCAGACCCTGGGACTCCCCAGCTTAACAATGGTGACTCAGGATATCACTTCAACATGGTGAAGCTCAAAAAGTGCAAATCATCCAGGAACCTTGTCACCAGTTCTCTTTTGAAGTACAGGACCAGTATTGAAGCTTCCAGTGTGGCTCGTCCTGTCGGTTCATCCTCCCCCCCCGCATCCTTTGCAGCTGGAAGCGCAATTTCCACCTCAGGATTCCGAGGAGTCATGGAGAAGTAAACCAAGAGCTAAGGATCGGGTTCAACAAAAACTAAGATAAGATCTGGTCTCTTTAGCTCCAAGAAGGGTTGCCTGGTGTGATGTGGTGAACAAAAACCCCAAAGATCCAAGAACCCGCTCTGTTTCAGGCTTCTCAGGGTTTCAAGAGGAAGGTCGGTAGATTCATGTACTCCACAATCCAAGATATTGGATCCCTACAGTACCGCCCGTTTCTGAACACCGTCCTAGTCAGTGACCGTTTCGAAGCTCTCGAAGCTCTTCGTCTTTCAGACCGGTGTTTCGTAGCAAAGGGAAGCTTCGCCACCCTTTGAGTCCTTGTAGAACATTCTCACACGTTTCACCTCACACGTTTGCACTTTTCCCCGGACAAACACCGGGGATGAAGGGGGGGAGGCTCTTCTTTGGGAGGTCTGGATGACTTTCGTCTCTGTCCTCGCGCGATCGACGCCTCGCGCTCCAGCGAGTCTTCCTTTGGTGGAAGACCGGGCGGTCACCGGGCGAAACCGTCTTTTCCGGCCGTTTCCACCGTCCGCCGGGACAGGCGTTTAATGAACATGGACCAGTCACTAGTCCATCAAGTCCAAGAACATGGACCGTCTCCATTCTTCTCATCTCAATCTTCATCGAAATTGCACAACTGGAAAAGAATTGGAAGCTTGCGCCTCTCAAACTTCTTTGCAACAATCCTTTAGTCACTTCATGTCACTTCAGCTTCAGCTTCAGCTTCCCCTCTCACTCACACTCCTCGCTGGTCCTCGCGGGTCCTCTTTCTGGACCGTTCCACGACTGAGGCGTCGGCCAGTGCACTGATAACCACAGGAGGCGCCGTCACAAGCCCTGGCGCACTCCTCTTGCCCGAAGAGCGATCCGGCACCTTCGGAGGGACGAGCGATCCGCGAGCCAATTCGGAAAGGCAGCGAGCCAAGGGCGGAGATCGGCCGATCTCCGCAAGGTACCCTGCCGTGGTGCAAACTGGTGTAGGGAGCAGTGGAGAGGAGAGTAGCATAGGGAGGGATCATGATATGTTGGTTAAAGAGATGTTTTTAGTATACAACAATAGTAAAGTACAGGTTGTTGAAGGATGTGTCCCACGGACCCAAACTAAAACTTTCCGGCAGCCTGTCCAATGTAACACTGGGATGTGGCACTGAAAGCAGGAAACACACCCACTCAAGAATCCAAGCAACTACGCATGTAACCTTTTGTTGCAGGTCAGATTTGATTTAGCTCTGAAGGATTTCATCCATCACTAACTGGATCCGTGTTCCACTCCAAACTCTAGAGCCCATAAGAAGGCCACTTGACTTTCAATCCATGAGTCCGTTACTTGTATGAGTCTAAGACTAGGGAAAACAACCAAGACCCTGGCCCATTGAATTGATGGTTCCAAGTTCTTCCCCAAACCTCTCAGATATCTTAACGTCCCGCGGGCACTGGGCCACCGGGCATTTGAAGCCGCACTTCTCCCCGTGGCAGTTCTTGGCACATGTAGGGCCTGGACGGGCTTTGGTCTGGCGCACAGCTTAGGCACCCAGCCTGCGGGTGGTGAAGAGAGCTGGGTAGGTGGATTCCTAGGACGAATATGCCGAACGAAAGTGAGGTTGATTCTCCTGGATTGTTGTTCAGCAAGTGATTTGGTTGCAAGCACTGGAGGCGGTGGGAAACCACAGGGTGGGCCTTGTCTGGGCTGATTGGATGTGGTTCACAAAACGCTTCAAAACATAGCAAGAAGAAGGACAAATCCCAGATTGTAAATCCTATTCAATCCATCCTATTTCCTACGAGAGAAAATCCAATCCAATTCAGGAAATCAATGGAAATCATAATAAATCATAGTACTGTATAATACTGTATAACATATCCTATTCCTATCGCAAAACCAATCCTCCAAAGGATTCCGCGAAGTCTCCGGAACCAGTGCCCCGCAGCCATTTTGCCCTCCGCCTCCACATTTCTGGTCTGCGGTCATGGCCTGACAAGAAGAAGACACGCCACCATGGAAACACTCCGGAGGATGCTCTCCAGTAAGTACCCTTTTTGGGGGGGAGAACGGTCCTCGACCGTTCTAGCGCTTCCACCTCTTTCCAGCGGCCAAACTCTGAAGGCTCGAAAAACGGTCGGTTTTTCCTGCATTGATAGAGAGAGAGAGAGAGAGAGACTCCGAGACTGTCGGGTCATGTCGGGTGTGTGGCGCATCGGCCACACGGACCGGACCGGAGGGTACCGGTGGAAGGTCGAGGCGCAGCGGAGCAAGCGGCAAGCGAGGGTTGGTGAAGCGTGGGTTGGCAGCGAGATTGAGGTGAAGCATGGTGAAGCATATCAAGAATAAGACCCTGGAACCGGCATGCTTCACATATTTAGTTATTATTACTATAATGCTTTGTACTATTTTTAGATATAGTTAATTACGAGTATATCAGTATATCATCAAATATAGTCCTCCGTTCCATTTCCCGGAAACTTCAGCAGTGGTACCCTATGTTTCACCCACAGAAGGCGCCACAAAGGCTCATGTCCATGGCCTCCAGCGTCCACCTCCGTCCGTCGTCAGCCTTACAGCTGGGCTCATCGATGTAGTAGCCGACCTGAGCGACCAGGCGGCGTGATGGTGCCAAAGCAGGGGGCTTTTTCGGACCAGGACCCCGCCCCTGCGCTTGCGCCGAAGCACCTTGGGACCCTGGGAATTTCTCTCCAAGCGAACTTGGCTCAAGGATGCTCAAGGTCAGGAAATGGATCCTCAGGCCCTTTCCTCTGTCAAGGTGTTCTGTAGGTGCATGGCTCACGCGATGCTTTTCGGAGGGTTGACCATCAAAGCGGGGACACCTTTGGTTGTGTTTTCTTGGAGAGTGAAGGAGCAAATTGCAGACATCCCACATATTCCCACATGGTTGGTTCCCCCTTGTTACAGTAGATACAGTGGTTTCAGAGTAGAGATGGCACGATCCCCAAAAGGTTCTTATATTATATAATACCTGGATTTCCAGCCGTGCAAAATGTTTGCGTTTCTGCTGGTGTTGTAGATGAAAAAGCAAACATGTTGCACAGTTTGAAGATCTACATAAAATACATCTTAGATCA